GGCTTGTGTGCTTGCAAGAAAGAGAGAGACAGAGAGACAGAAAGCAAGAAATCACCCTCCAGGGGGGATGGCTATCCCTTCTCCTCCATTCTCCTCTCGGGATCTTGGGAATGCATGTACAGGTGCCCAGTGTGAATTTAAGCCACCGGGTCTAGGATTTGAATCATGGTTGACTACATGGGAGTCCAGTGACGTAGCCGTTATGCCAACTGCTGGTCCTGGTTTTGCTTTATATTTTACCCTGAATTTTTATCTGATTATAAATCCCTCCTGGGCTAATTATTTTTACATGATTTACACTGCTGTGGTACGAAAGCTAAATGTCATAACATTATCACATATGTTTAATAATAATGTGCATTTTTTTCTCTTCTAGAAAACTGTGGAACTTATACTGAGAGCATGAGGCCAGTATATCCAACAAAAACTTTTCCCAATCACTACAGTATTGTCACTGTAAGCTCTGCATTTCAACTTTTATATGTTCACATACTTTTCTATGTAATTATAACTTTTTTTAAGAAAATAATTAAGTCTCTGCTCAGAAAAACTTAACTCCTTTTCCAGTCTGTAGCTTAGTGAGGAAACCTAGGTTTTGGTCTTTTTTCAGTCACTTATGAGCCACTTAGGAAGTTATTTTACCTGCTGGATCTCCATTCTCTCATCTGTGTGAAGAACGAACCAAAAACTCCTAAAAATTAGGACCAGCAGATGGTGTAATGGTTACACTACTGGATTTCTGTGTAGTCAACTGTGATTTGAGTCCCAGACCCAGCAGTTGAAAACTCACGCTGGGTGCATGTGTGTGTGTGCGTAAGATGCTTAGAAGAGGATGAAGGAGAAGGGATTATAGTGTGGCCATTTCCCCTGGGAGGGGTAATTTCTTGTTTTCTGTGTTTCTGTCTCTCTGGTGAGAACATGAGCCTTATAACAAGAATATCTCTTAAAATAAAGAAAAAAAAAAAAAAGGAACAAGAACCCTAGAAATGATTTCTTGGTTTCCTCTCAGTTTTAAGATTCTTGAATTTTGTATTCTGTTTTGGTTTTTTACTTTTCCTCATTAGTTTTGGAGCTTTCTTTAATTGAGCCAAAAATCTGTGTCACACTCATGTGTTCTTAACTTGTTTTTCCAATCATCTGGATGATGAGTTTGAACAAGCCACTTTGCCTGACACCACATTGTATTATAGCCCTTATATATTTTTTTAAATAAAAGTTTCCAGATTTAATTTGAATCCAGGAAAAAAGTAGAAATCATTAAGCCTTAGGGGTGAAGCCAGAAAATGAGTATATTAGATAGTATTAAGACAAGCTAGTCCTAGACCCAGCTGAAGAGGAGTTTGTTCTACAGGAGTGCCTTATCCAGGAATACAAAAAGAAAACAGAATATTTTTTCAAAATTTGGGAGACTCTCTATATAAACCTTCATCCATTGCATTCTTTTCTTATTTTCTCCTATTAATAATTTAAACACAAAGCCTATATCAAATCTTGAGTGGTAGGTTTGTTTCTCTGTTTGTTCATTTTTAAATTATAAAATTTTGGGACCAACAGATTGTGTAATGGTTGCATCACTGGACTCCCTCATGGCCAACTGTGGTTTGAGTCCCAGACCTAGAGGCTTGAAACTTACAATGGGTATGTGTGTGTGTGCCTAAAATCCTGAGAGGAGAATGGAGGAGAAGGGATTACAGCATGGCCATCCCTCCTCAGGGTGATTTCTCGCTTTCTGTCTATCTATCTCTCCAGTGAGCACATGCACCCTATAGCAAAAATCTCTCTTAAAAAATTAAATGATAAACTGCTATATTTCAACAAGATAGTAATATGTTCTCCTCAAATTTTATCGAGGTTTTGATCTTTCTATACTCCATTATATCTTGTAACAGTAAATATGAATTCATATCATCTCATTATCAGTAGCATTCATAATATAGTCTCTTTTGATTTTATATTTTACAATTATTTTTATGTAACTTTACCTTTTTTGAATGTTTCTCTATATGTAAAATATATATTCTTTCATTAAGGTAGATAGAGACAAAAATTTTTCAGTAAGAATACACTAAGAAACAACAAATGAAATTGTGTACATCAAGATACCAAAAGTGATTCAACTCTTTAAAAAACATCCTATTGTAGTCAAATGAGTAGTTTGCACAGAACAAGTAATCAATATTATTCATTTGAATAATTATTTCACATTCAAACAGAAAGAAAAGTAATTTGAAGATTTAAAAAAATGTAAAGACAGGATCTCACTATGTCACGATCCTCCTAGCTAAGCCTCCTGAGTTTCAGGGGTTACAGGCACACACCTGATCTTTAGGTTGATTTGTTTTAACAGTACCTATTTTTCTTTCTTCCTTTCTTAACTTTTATAATTCCATATAGCTTCAGTTATCACGTTTTTTATTTTCATGGTTTGATTCTCTATTTGACTGTACATAAACTCATACTTGCATAAAATATGTGTTTTATCTTTTTTAGGGACTTTATCCAGAATCCCATGGCATAATTGACAATAAAATGTATGATCCCAAAATGAATGCTTTCTTTTCACTTAAAAGTAAAGAAAAATTTAATCCTGAATGGTACAAAGGAGAACCAGTGAGTTGTTTGTTTGCTTTAGCTAATGAAATAGTTCACCTGTTATTCTCTCTATTTCAATCAGAGTAAAATAACCAGATTCCCTGGAGCTTTAATATAATATGTTTGTATTTCATTTACTGTTTCTGTGTAGCCATCTTTTCCTAAATGGAGACAAATGTGGATAATCCTAAACAGAACTTGTACGATTGGGGCCAGTGGGTGGCATGGTGGTTAAGGTGTTGAACTCCCAAGGGCCACTGCAATGAGTCCCAGACCTGGTGGCTTGCTTTCCCACTTTGTCTCTCTCTGTCTCTTGCTCTCTGTCTCTCTGGTGAGTGCACATTCCTATAGCAAATTAAAAAAAAATAATAATGGAAAATAAATAATGGAAGATTAATAATTCTTTAAAAAAAAAAAGAAAGATTGGGAACCAGCAGTTAGCGTAATGGCTATGTCGCTGGACTCCCACGTAGTCGACCGCGGTTCGCGTCCCGGACCCGGTGGCTTAAAACTCACACCGGGCGCGTGTGTGTGCATGCCCAAGATCCCGAGAGGAGAATGGAGGAGAAGGGATTGCGGCGTGACCATCCCCTCTGGGGGGTGATTTCTCGCTTTCTGTCTCTATGTCTCGCTCTGTCTGGCGAGCGCACGCGCCCTATAGTGAAAACCTCCCCCCCCCCAAAAAAAAATAGAAAAGAACTCGTGTGATTGCCTAAAATGAGAGTGGTTTATTTCTGTATTGGTTTCGTTGTGCTGAGTCATTTTTCTTTTCTGCTTGTTTCTTCTTTACAGAGTAGTAGCATGTAGCAGTCGTCTAGGGTAATAGTTTTGATCTGCACAAGCTTATTTTATTTGATTTCATTTGTGTGTGCTGGGATGATTCTTGCTGATTGTGACCTAGGCCTATTCTCTTTTTTATTTTTTAAAAATTGCCACAATGAGATCAGCCAATGACATAGTGGTTAAGGCATCTGGACCCTCCTTGGCCAGATGCATGGTTCTAGTGTCTTATCCAGCAGCTTGAGGAACAGTCTGGGTGCATGTGTGTGCACGCCCCAAACCCTGAAAGGAAGGAGAAATGGAGGAGAAGGGATTGCCACATCACCATGCCCCATGGGAGATTCTTTCTCTCTTTTCCTCTCTCTGTCTCTGGCAAGTGTGTGCACCCTCTGACAAGAATTGGGAAAAAGATAAAAAGCCACAGAATTACATAAAGCCTGTTTGGATAATATTAATATTTCTTTAGAAGAAAAATGCATACTATTTAATTTTCAGGTTAGGAATTTACATTTTGCCATGACATAAAAGCTGTATGACTTTAGGCAAATCATTTTTTTCTGTGCCTCAGTATTATAATGTCTACACTTCAGATAATATTGTGAACTACCTCAGAGGGTTATTGCAAAGATTATGTAAGTTAATAGCATAGGACATTTATAGGAATGCTATTTAGTTAATATATACCGAGTGTCCGCACTCTATGACTGAAACTGATTGACTAAAGGATATAGAAACACAGTATATAGATGTAAATACCAGATATAGTGTGTGTGAAAGAGGAGGGTCTGAGGAAGGACATTTAGAAGAAAAGTAGGGAGGCAAAGCATCAGTGGGACAAAGAAATGTGGTATTACCTGTTGAAGATATTTTATAGTTTTATCAACTGTACTAGGGAGAAATGTTCACCTGTGGCAATATTAATTTGGTAAGCTAAATAATGTGATTGAGTGTATAAAAGAAAATGAAATAAAAAAAGGAAAAAATTAAAAAAAGAAATTATACTTAAGAACAAATTAAAAAGGAATGCTATTTAGAACTGTGGTTGGCAGTAATAAGTGCCCACTAAAGGTTAATTACATAAGCAAAGATGACAATGTTAAAGATGTACATTCGTGAAGTTTTCTTTATTAAGTAAAATCGATTAATTAGGTGTTTGGCTGTAAAAGTTTCAGGAGTTGCCAACCGACATAGACATTTTTAAGGTTATTTTCATGTTTCTCTATTTTTGCTGCTGAGGAAATGCCATATTACATGATTATTGAAGTTTAATTGCTGGAGCTTATTGGCCTTAAAAATACTGTAGTGCTGGGACCAGCAGTTAGAGTAATGGCTATGTCACTAGACTCCCATGTAATCAACCACGATTCGAGTCTCGGACCCAGTGGATTAAACTCATGCCAAGCACGTGTGGGTGATTTCTCACTTTCTGTCTCTCTGTCTCTCTCTTTCTGGTGAGAGCATGTGCCCTATAACAAAAACCTCTCCAAAACAAAACACTCTAGTGCTTTAGAGGAAAGAATTAATGTAATATGAGCACATACTTTCCTAAAAGATGAATGTTTGGATGACTTCCTAACATTTCTTTATTATTTTTCCCAGATTTGGCTCACAGCTAAGTATCAATACCTCAAGTCTGGCACCTTTTTTTGGCCAGGATCGGATGTGGAAATTAATGGAGTTCTTCCAGACATCTATAAAATGTATAATGGGTATGTATGTGTAAGTTATTTTCTAGAATCTGTAACATAGGACATCTTTTCTTTCTCTTCTTATCTCATTCTCTCCTTTTCAATGTGCCCTAAGCTCTGGCATTTGAATGATACATTGAGTTAAAAATGGTAACCATCAGAATAAGACTCAATATCAAAGAGTTTTAGAGAGATGGTAAGTAGACAGTAAAACTAGACCAGTGTTTTCTAGAGTTTGTTCAGAGCCACTGATAACATGTGTTCAGATCTTTGGGCAGTAATCAAAATTGAGGAGTTGGTGAAAGCAGAGATCTGAGAGTGGAGGCACTATACATTTTAACTCTAAGAAGAAAAAGAACTGGGAGAAGGAAAAGACGAACGTGTAGAGGACACGGATAGGAATGACTCTATGGCATCTGGAAATATTATTTATAAGAAGATAGTTTTTATTTTCACCTCCACATTTCTTTAATCAATATGCTTCCTAGTGTAAGAAACATTAAAATAATCTCCCTGAGATATTAAAAATGCATATTGTATTGAGAGAAAACAAAAGCTTTTTTGTGGAAGAATGTTTGGCTGAATTTAGCAAGACTACTAAACTAATTTCATTTCATTTTTACTTATGAAACTTCTATCTAAAACTCAATATAGAATAATGTTTTTGGTGAGACAAACAGAAAAAACTCTAAATCTGGGCAAGGAAAATGTACCAATTTTCTTTGGTAAACTTATGGTATCTTGTATCATTATGGCTCACACAGCACAGTGCATGGAAGTGCCTCTTTGTTATCTTATTTGCCATTGATTTCATTCCATGGGTACTAATTGGGATACTGTATGCTATGCATGGGACATTCAAAGATTAGTAATAGGGCAGCAAGTGACGTGGTGATTAAGGTGCTAGATTCCCACATGGCCTACTGCAGTAAAAGCCGGATCTGGTGGCTGAAAAATCGTGACAAATAAATAGATAAATAAATGAATAAAATTTTTTTAAAAAAAGATTAGTAATATACAGTCTCTAGCTTTTGAAAGTCTAGTAGAGAACACAACCAACTGTACTTGAGGTTGGGCAGGCACTCTGTTGGAGATGTGGAAACCAAACCTTGTGCCCAGAGGAAGGCATAGTTAATTCTCCTGAGGAGATGTTGCCTGGAAAGCTGTCATGTGCTCATCAGCTGCTTCCTTGATTATACTGAGTCACCAGTGAGTGAGTTCCTTATGAGGTACCCTTTGTAGAAAGTATTAACAAGTGGGCTATTCATGCAGTCTACAATGACTGTTCTCAGGTACACAAATAATCCTTGAGTAAAGGATGGGATACAACTTTTATTTGTGTAAAACATAACTTTTGCTCTTTGATTAGAAAAGCCAATTAACATTTTAAAATAAAACTCTTACATAAGGGAGTCTTCACAAAGCTTATGAGAATGCATATTGTCAAAAAAGCTATTAATAAATTTCAAAATCATTTTCCACCAAAATGAACTTTCATTCCATTTTCCCATGGACTTTTTAAGATATGCTATGACTGCACAGGGACCAGCATTTAGCATAATGGCTATGTCGCTGGACTCCCACGTAGTCAACCTCGGTCTGCGTCCTGGACCCGGTGGCTTAAAACTCACGCCGGGCGTGTGTGCGTGTGTGCCCAAGATCCCGAGAGGAGAATGGAGGAGAAGGGATTGCGGCGTGGCCATCCCCCCTGGGGGATGATTTCTCACTTTCTATCTCTCTGTCTCTCTCTGTCTGTCTGGCAAGCGCACGCATCCTATGGCAAAAACCTCTCCAAAAAAAGAAAAAATAATAAAAGATATGCTATGACTGCAAACAATGTATGCATTGTATTGTCTTCGTGCATTTTAATGCTGCTTTCAATTAAAATATTTATGTTAAACCCAAAAACTTGCCACAAATGTGTTTTATTTTGTTTATCTTTAATTTTAGTTCAGTGCCATTTGAAGAAAGAATTTTAGCTGTTCTTCAGTGGTTGCAACTTCCTAAAGATGAAAGGTATGTAGGCAATCAGTTTCTTTCTTTTTCCTTTTATTTATTTATTTGTAAGTACTCCTTTGAGGTATAGAAATTACATACTATTTTAAAATAAACTATAAGAAAAGTTTGCTACCAAGTTTATTTTTTATCCAAATAAACTCTTTAGTGAGTTATTGCAGTCACATTTTGAAGAATTCTAAACCCATAAATTATTTCTCAACAAGTTTAGCCATGTTACCTCAGCGTTGTAGAATTTCTAATCACTATCGACTGTTGAAATATTCTTTCCCTTCTGTTTTTCAATGTGTTCGTAAAATATTACATTTTGATACTGTTTGATTTAGACCACACTTTTACACTCTGTATTTAGAAGAACCCGATTCTTCAGGTCATTCGTTTGGGCCAGTCAGCAGTGAAGTAAGTATACTTTCATCAGCAATTATTCTATTGAACTTAGTTGTCTAACTGAACCTTGCTTTGAAGCAGGTTTCTGGACCATTCTATAAGATTCTGTAAATTCTGGAAGGAGTGAGGATTATGCACAATTTTATTAAAGCAAGGGATTCATTTAAACAAAATAAGAATTGGGGGAATTATTTTGCTTACATTTTCTACTAAATTGTAGAAACTTCGTGCTAAATTGAACTGATACTGATTTAAATTTTGTATTTTTTAACTCCAAAGGCTTTTTTCTCTTCATATTTCCCTACCTTGTCCTAAAAACTATGTACTTTTTAAGAATTTTGCAAATAGATTAGACTCCAAATTTCTATGCAAATGTAGGATAATAAGTCGAATAGCTGAATCAGCATGGTATAAACTCTCCTTCTTAGACTATGTCTTTGGCCACCTGAGACTGCTTAAAACAGTGCTCAGGCACCAAAGGGTGGGAGATGTAATCAAAAGAACAGAGATCTTTAAATGATCATTCTTTGTTAAATGGTTACTAGGAAACTAGAGATAGGAAAACAGCTCACGGATTAACACTTTCAAGTTACATCTTATTTGACTTGACATCCTTTCAGACACTTAGCCAGCTCCTGTCTATGTTTGTCATCTTTATAATCTTAAAACAATAAATATTGCTTCAGTTTCTATGTGGCCATATCATTTTTGGATCTTTGTACACAGGATGGTAGCTTTATGTAGAATTAGTCATTAGTATGGAACGCATTACATGCGATTGCTTCCCTTCCTTAGGTCATCAAAGCCTTGCAGAGGGTTGACAACATGGTTGGCATGCTGATGGATGGTCTGAAAGAGCTTAACTTGCATAGATGCCTGAACCTCATCCTTATTTCAGATCATGGTAATCTCCATTTGCATCATTTACCCTTTGGGTTAAGATGATGCCCCAAAAAGTTTCTTTATTGACATTTGTTTCATGATTTATTCTAAATGTTATACTTCTTTTTTTTTTTTTTCCCAAACATTGTTTCTTGTGGGCTGGCAGGGTGGTGCAGCAGTAATACAAAGCTCTGTGATGCTTGGCCCACATAGGAAAGTCCCAAGTTAACATCCAGAGGTCTCCCTATGCTTGTGTGTGCCCAATAGCCAGGCGTGTTGAGGCTGCAGGTGGATCACAGGATGAAAAGCCTGTTGGGGCTGTTTCTCTCTCTCTCTCTGCCTCTCTCCCCCTTGCTCTCTCTTTCTCTATTTCACGGAAAGAATGAAATAAAATACTTTTTGGGGACCAGCCAGGTAGCATGGTGGTTAAGGTGGCTGGATCCCTATGGCCAAGTGCATGGTATGAGCCTTGGACCCAGCGGCTTAGAAAATATCCCTAGCACATGCATATGAATGACCAAAATCCCAAGAGGAGAATGAAGAAGGGATTGAGGTGTGGTTATCCCCTTTGGAGGGTGATTTCTCACTTTCCCTTTCTCTCTCTCTCTCCCACTCTCTGTCTCTTTCTGGCAAGCACACACACCTATAGCAATAACTAAAAAAAAAAGTCTTTTTTAAATTACTTAATTTTATGTATTATCATTAGTTTTAAATTTGGTACATAGCATATATGCTCACCAGAGAGAGACACAGAGAGAGAGCAACAGAAAGGAAGAAAGCAAGCCACCAGGTCTGGGACTTGAACCATGGTCTGCCATGTAGGAGTCCAGAGCCTTAACCACCACACCACCTGTTGGTCCCATCTTTTTAAAAAATATATATACTTTCTTGGGGAAAGTCCTTAGGAAAAAAAATCACATTAAATATAAAATACAAGTGAAACAAGAGCCTGTCTATCTAGCTCAAATAAGTGCCACAGGCCTTTCCTATATAAAAAGATAGGTACATCATGGTTAAAGCATACCTAACCTATGTTTTCTTTTTCTTTTTTAAGAAAGAGATCTTTGCTATAGGTTGCACGTGCTCTCCAGAGAGACAGAGAAAAACAGAGAGAGAAAATAAGAAATCACACCCCCAGGGGGAAGGCCACACTGAAATCCCTTCTTCTCTATTATCCTCCTGGGATTTGAGGCACACATGCACATGTACCTGGTGTGAGTTTTAAGTGTCTGGGTCTAGGATTTGAACCATGATTGACCATGTGTTAGTCCAGAGCCTTAACCACCATGCACCCTGCTGGCCCCTAACCTACCTTTTTAATTACTCAAATTCCTATAACCACAATGTACTTAATTTCTGATTTGGGGAAGTTATATGCCAGGAACTTGTATAGTTAAAATTTTTTTTCAACATTAATTTTTGGTTATTCCATTCAATAATCTTATATTTAGTTAAAAGGGATTTTGTTTTTCCTATTCAATTTTCTTTAGCATGATCAATCTGACTCCAGAGGGAGTAATTTTAATTTTGATAATATTTTAATTTCACTTTTACATACTGTGATCTTCATACATGTTTGTGTGCAAATTTGGGATTATAGAAGTGTGTACTTAGAAGAAAGTAGAAGTAGATTCTTTATTGTTGTTGTTTATTTATTTATTTCATGATAGCAAGACAAAAAAATGAGATAGAAAGGCACTCTTAATGGGGTCTTTACACCAAAATCCACCTCCAGCCTCTGCCAGTCTGGCCCACAGGTGTTGTGCGTGCCTAGGATGCACAAAGAGGGTCTGGGAGGCAAACTCAAGACTCTCCCACACAGGCCCAGCGTTATAGAGTGCTATGTTACTGTTATACCACTATCCAACCCGTTTTTGTTTGCTTCAGAAGTAATTACGTGAACCTGTTTTAAAAGAGTACTAAGAAATTATATGCTAAAGAAGCTCCAGTCTGGAATGAGACTGAGTTATATTCTTCCAGTTGATAGCCTTGGTGACTTTGGGCAAATGACTGGGCTTTCATATTTAGTCTAAAAGTCTGTTAAGACATTCCTTTTTACTAACGTAATGTGATTGTAATACATAAATAGGAAGAAGCATTAAACTGATTTGGGGTGAAGGAATCGGAAAAGGTTTGAAAAAAGTGAAGTAGCTAATATAGCTGAAATTCTATCTTACCTATTAGATGCTTAACCAATATGAGTACTGAACCCATGTTTACTGAATGAAGTTCTAGAAGTAAAACAAATTCTATTTGACATAGTATAATTTTTATTAAAATTGCAACATGTTCTGGAATTTTGTTTTTCTCCTAGGCATGGAACAAGGCAGTTGTAAGAAATACATACATCTAAATAAATATTTGGGGGATGTTAAAAATATTAAAGTGGTCTATGGACCTGCAGCTCGATTGAGACCCTCTGATGTCCCAGATAAATACTATTCATGTAAGTATATTTCTGTAACTTTGAATATGGTTCCATTAAGAATTTCCTGATCAAGATTAAATCCCCTGTGCAGATCTTTTGAACTCATGTGGATTTTATGGGACTAGATGTGAGGACACAAGACTACCTACCTCTTATTTGTTATTCATAGGCTAAGCATGTTACTTAGTGAGCTTAGTTCAATGTTATGTTGTAATGTGTGTTAATTTGTATTAGGGTCAAGAGTGTACTGAAATAAAGTTTCAAGGGAAAAATCAACTAGATTTATTCTGGTTTAATTAATTAATGACACCTTTTGAAAATAACTTTAGAGAATATTAATCTGTTATGAGGAGGAATTCTGGTAGCGATGATTAATTCTATAAGTGGTTGATTCCTGTCCTCATTTGTTACTTTCTTAAACTATTCCATAAAAAAAAAAATGAGTGTATCATTTAGACAGAGAAGAAGAAATTTTAAATTCTTGCTTAGAATTGACCACATGTGATACACAAACTGCCAACAAATGTGGAATGTTCTTTTTCCAAGTGAAGCCTATTTCATAATTATTCCCACCTCCCTCTTTTTTTTTTTTTTTTGGAGAGGTTTTTGCTACAGGGTGCATGCACTCGCTAGAAAGACAGAGAGACAGAAAGCGAGAAATCACCCCCCAGGAGGGATGGCCATACTGCAATCCCTTCTCTTCCATCTCCTCTTGGGGTCTTGGTCATGCTTGCACATGCACACGAGCCCAGCGTGAGTTTAAGCTGCCGGGTCTGGGACTTAAACCGCGGTCGATCACATGGGAGTCCAGCGATATACCATTACTTCAACTGCTGGTCTCCCACCTCTTCTTGATTGCCTCTTTTGACAACTTTTAGATAAGTAGGGTGAATTTTCTTTATCTTTTTGTTATAATTAACTTTGAAATGGAAAGAAAAAAAGACTTTACCAACAGTTATCAGAATTGGGTTAGGCATAGACTCTGGGTGAGATACGTTTCAAAAGATACTGTTAATGAAATGATGAGACCAGCAGTTGGCATAATGGCCATGTCGCTGGACTCCCATATAGACCACCGCAGTTTGAGTCCCAGACCTGGTGGCTTAAACTCACGCTGGGCGCGTGTGCATGCATGCCTAAAATCCTGAGAGGAGAAAGAAGGAGAAGGGATTGTGGCATGGCCATGCCCTGTGGGGAGGTGATTTCTCGCTTTCTGTCTCTCTGTCTCTCTCTGTCTTTCTGGCAAGTGCATGCACCCTATAGCAAAAACCTCTCCAAAAAAAAAGTTAATGAAATGAAATAGATTTCACTGTAGTAAAATAATTATGCAAATGTATTAACACAGTGGCGCAAAGTACAGGTTCCTTATGTACACTGACAGGTTTTAATTAGTATCTTGGGGGTCTGAGAAAACTAAGCTTTAGCCATGCCCTTACCCAAACTAGGTCCTCACATTTTCCAAATTATAGCAAAAATCATGTCAATTTATCTACACACATACATGAAATACAGATATAATATATATTCTTTGGATAATTTCCCCAAACTTAAATAAAGTCTGACTAAAATAATTTTTCTTTTAAAAATCAACTGTTTATTTTATTTTATTTGACTTGGAATGTGTGCATTCAGCAGAGAGAGACAGAGAGAGAGGGAAAGTGAGAAATCACACCCAAAAGGTATTGGCCACACTGCAACCCCTTCTGTTCTCACGGGATTTTTGAGCTTGCATGCACATATACCTGGCTGCCATGTCTGGGATTCAGACCGCAGAGCTGGCTATTTGGGATCCAGTGCCTTAACCAGTATGCTACCTGCTGGCCCTGATTGTTTAAAAATTTAAAAATTGTAATTCCTGATTTGCATGTAAGTGTACATGATTGTGGAGCACGGCATGGTTTTTAAAAATATCCATACAGTGTGTAATAATGAAACCAAGGATATACACTTAATCGCCATCATCTACATTAGACATTAGGTGTATATTCAAAATTCCTTCTGCTGTTTTTTGGGAAGTATATATTAAATGATTGTGGTGCTTCTTACTCGTCTGTGGTATACTGTTCCATAACTTAGTCCACTTGTTTACACATGCTCTTTTGTTTGTTAACCAATTTCTCCCAAACCCACCCCGATGTAGCTTCTACTGTCTGTCATTACTCTCTCTGCCTTTATGCTGCCGTTGAGTCCTTTAGCTTCTACTGATGAGTGAGCCACGTGTTATTTTGACAGTTATGGATTTGTAACAAAAGGTCGCTGTGTAAATCCACTCCCTCTCTTCTGAGTTATTCTGTACCCCATCTTATTTGGGAATTCTGGGATTATCACTGAATCGTGAAGTATATAAAGTAAAAAGTAAGAGTTTTCCATCCTGAGTCTCCTATGCACAACTCAACCTTTCCCTAGAGACAACTGTTAAGTTTGGAATGTTTTTCCAGACATTTGCTATGCATATATAGAATACATGAATTTTTATTTCTTCACAAGAGCAGCACACTAGATTAGAGGGATTTATGGAGAGGTATTTGGAGTGGAAGGATGGAAAGAAGGTCAGATGAAAAAGTGGATGAGTATTTGGGTGGATGGGCTGATGCACAGTCAGAAGTATAAATGGGCAGATAATAAATAGATCTTCTGTAACTTGCATTTTTGCTGAACAGTGTGACACAATTTCATGAGTGTCATACCATGGACATAGGATGTTCTCATTCCTTTCAGTGACTAATATGTAATGGCTTGAATGGGCTGCCTGAAGCCTGTTTTCATATTTCAATAAGGGTTTAAGTCTGATATCCTCTGTTTTTGTGTTGTCATTATTTTTCATTATAACATAACATCAACTATTATTATTTTTTCCCTTTCTAGTTAATTATGAAGCTCTTGCCAGAAATCTTTCTGTGAGTATCTTTATTTTTCTACTATCTATTATTAGTTGTGTATAATAACATATTTAGAGAAAAAGTTTAATATTCATTTTTGGAATTATAAGATCAGAATTTTTGAGTATCTGGGCCAATATGTTTTAAAGATCTTTAAGGGTAGGTTTCAGTAATCTAGGTTTAAATGTTTTTAAGTCTCTATTTTATAGCAAAATTTATGACTGTATAACAACTGGAAATAATGGAGAAAATCTATAACTGTACTACCATAAAAACATACGTATTATATTTCTTTTCAATCGTTTTTATCCCTATTTTTTAAATAAGTTTTTGTTCCAGTGCTGAGTTATCCATACCATATTTTGTGCTTATATTTCAAGTTGTGATGAAAACATTTTTTCCAGATATTTTTGCCATAGGGCATGCGCACTCACCAGAGAGACAGAGACAGAAAGTGAGAAATCAACCCTGGGGGAATAGCCACATGGCAATCCTTTTTTTTTTTTTTTTTGGGAGAGGTTTTTTTTTTGCTATTGGGCACGTGCGCTCGCCAGACAGACAGAGAGAGACATAGAGACAGAAAGCGAGAAATCACCCCCCAGGGGGGATGGTCATGCCGCAATCCCTTCTCCTCCATTCTCCTCTCGGGATCTTGGGCACGCACGCACACGTGCCCGGCGTGAGTTTTAAGCCACCGGGTCTGGGACACGAACCGCTGTCGACTACGTGGGAGTTCAGTGACATAGCCATTACGCTAACTGCTGGTTTCCACATGGCAATCCTTTAAGGATTTTGGGCACACGTGCACACCCACCCAGTGTATTTTAAGCTGCTGGTTTTGGGACTCGAACTGCAGTTGGCCATGTGAGAGAACAACACCTTAACTACTGCTGGCCACTTGTGATAAAAATTCTTACAGTTGTAGTTACAAGAGTGTATGAATATAGGATCATCTGTAATAACTCGAATATAATCTAGTGACACAGTGTAAGAGTCCTAGGGCTTCTGTGTAGTAATAATTATGATTACCTATGAAGATTTTGACTAGCTTATAATAGTCACCTTGTATGACATCTAGGTAGTAAGAACTCTTAGTTATTTTTCTATCTGTGATGTGACTTATTGGGCAGGCTGGTAAAATATTTGTGAGAAAAAAATATATATAAGGAGTTACAAAACAATTTTAAGAGATATTTACATTTTAAGTTATATGAAAATAACAGTTTTTCTTTGCCTTTTGCCATTTCAGTGCCGAGAACCAAACCAGCACTTCAAACCTTACCTGAAGCAGTTTTTACCTAAGCGTTTGCATTTTGCCAAAAGTGACAGGATTGAGCCTTTGACATTCTATTTGGACTCCGAATGGCAGCTCGCACTGTAAGTTCTGCTGGTCTCTCGAGTAAACCTAGCCTGAGCTATTAGTGGTACCAGGGAACCACTGGGACTTGTACAAACATGGTCCTCTTCACTATGACCCAGGATTTCTCAAGCTCAGTGTAATAGACAATTGGAGTTGGGTCATTTTTATTTTGGGTACTCTCTCATACGTTGTAAGGCATTTGATAGGATCCTGATTTCTACCTACCAGGTGAAATTAGCACCATTTCTCTTGTTGTGACAACCACAAATGTGTTCAGACAGTCCCCTGAGGAGGAGGGATCACTTCTGGCTAAGACCTGCTGCTCGGGCCCACTTACGTATACGGTTTATTTCCTGTAACTTATATGTATATGTTATAATGTGCTATTGGGTTTCTTCTACATATTCCAGTTATGTCTGTTAATATCTTCAAAGTCCAGCAAACAATTGAAAAAGCCACTGAATAATAATGTGCAACTATATTTATTATATGACAGATTTTTAAAATTCTCCTTATAATAATCCATGAATAAACATCTGTTTATAGGTGTGTTTACCAAGTCATTGGGTCATCAGAAAAGTCATGATACATTTTTGCATAGAAAACCATAGAAAAATATGGCATGATTTTTTCTGACGACCCAATATTTGCACAGTTAATTCTGGTAAAGTCTCAAAACTTGACCGTTGCCTCTTTTGTGATCACCTTTATGTGTGAGGTATGTACTTCTGTGTAAGGTTTCATTCTCACTTTCCAGAAGGAGAGGACAGCCAAGAAGCTGGGCATATTAATTTCCCCAACAAATAAAACCTAAGCTGTGGGCCACAACTCAGTCAACAGAATGATACTGTCTTTATTTTTATTAGGGAGCTGTGCTTTAAGTGTTTAGAAGGAAGAATAGGAAAAAAGGGACAGTCCTTGCTCTCCTAAAATGAACTGTTGGGTCGTCAGAAAAGTCATGATGTGTTTTTCTATGCAAAGATGTGTCATGACTTTTTCAACAAGCCAATAATATTTTTTGCATGTTTATTTTTATGTTTATTTCTTTTTTTATAAATAATTTTTTCCAATTTATTTATTTGCATTCATTCACTGTACATCATTACAGCATACAAAATGAGATTTTCCATCCAGAGTATACTGTTTATTGTCTCAATCAAGCACATCAACAAACATGTTATTGTCAGCAAATGATCTTCCATTTCTGGTTTTCTGTATGTTTTGCTTTTTTTTTTGTCCCCCATCCTTGATTCCATATCTCTTACCCTCTGCCATCTCCCACTCTCCTCCCTCACTGTCTCTGGTATCTATGTTTGCTTTCTATACTGTTTTCCCCCCACATTTTATTGAATCACCAAAGACCCTAATCAATCCAAATACCCTCCTAGCAAACACAGGTGACACACACATTTCCATGAACACGAGTCTAACTTTATGCATCCTATAAAGTAGCACCTAGCTGGGGCTACATATCCTACTGCAGTCATTGAATAGATATATTTTTTTTCCTGAAACTTTTTTTTTGTAGCTCAATTTACATTCCTTCCCTAAGCATCATCACAGCACACAAAATGTGATCTACCATCCAGTACACACTGCATAGTGACTCAATCATGCACATTACAAAAAATTTTCCATTTCTAGTTCCTAGAATTATTTCCACCCCTCTTTCTGACCCTCTATCCCTTCCCACCCTCCTATTTATTTGGGCTGTATCACTGAACTCTGTGAATAACCAACATGAGATATTGAAACCAAGAGAAGATACTTGTCTAAAGTCATAGTTGGTTAATAGCATGATGATGGTTCGAGACCACTTCTGTCTCGATACTAGTGGTTTTTTTTTGTCTGTGGTATTGCTTACAATATTGTTGATTTGTCTATGAAATAAAAGCTACAAGTGGCCCCTTACTGCTTTTCAAAGCCAGGTTTCTTTTTTTTTTAACCTTAATGTTGGTTTAGCAAAATAGTTATTTATCCTTTATTAATGTAAATAATGTCATGATTATCCATTTTGTTTTTGCTATATTATTAATTTATATATGTCAATAATAGGAATCCTTCAGAAAGGAAACATTGTGGAAGTGGATTTCATGGCTCTGACAATCTATTTCCTAATATGCAGGTAAGTAAACCTACTATACTTAAAAAAATAAATTAAATCTGGGGAAAAAATTGATATATGAATTTTCTTACATAAACACGAATTGTGATTATATGTCTTGAATGAGAATCAATGAAACGTATACTTATATAGAACTGTTTAGCCATTAAAAATTTTGTTGAAATTGTATGTTTATGCTTCATAAACACAAGACTGATAACATACCTCCTATTAAATTTATAAAAGTTACTTTGCATGTATTTATGCTCTATTAGGATTATTGCTCCACAGTAAATGAAAGCCAGTGATTTAGTAGATGAAATGCTATTATACTTATGTTTTGAAAGGAGATAATATCTTACATTTACTATGCCCCCCTTTTTTTTTTAAATTTTTTTTTTTTGGAGATATTTTCACTGTAGGGCGCGTGCGCTCGCCAGACAGACAGAGAGAGACATAGAGACAGAAAGCGAGAAATCACCCCCCAGGGGGGATGGTCACGCCGCAATCCCTCCTCCTCCATTCTCCTCTCGGGATCTTGGGCATGCACGCACACGCACCCGGCGTGAGTTTTAAGCCACCGGGTCCGGGACACGAACCGCGGTCGACTACATGGGAGTCCAGCAACATAGCCATTACGCTAACTGCTGGTTCCCTGCCCTTTTTTTTGTAAATTCTGGTTTTTTTTAAAGAATTATTTTATTTAATTTTACTTATTCATTTCTTTATTTTAATTTGACCAGACACACACACACACACACACACACACAGAGAGAGAGAGAGAGAAAGTGAGAAAGCAAGCCATCAGGCTTGAGACTCTAACCACGGTCGGCTATGTGGGAGTGTTCAACACCTTAAGTACCATGCCACCTGCTGGTCCCCTATAAATAATATTTTTAAAAATTATCTTTTGGTGGACCAGCAGTTAGCATAATGACTATATCACTGGACTCCCATGTAGTTGACCGTGGTTTGAGTCCCAGACCCGCTGACCCGCCAGGTGCATGTGCGTGTGTGCCCAAGATCCCGAGAAGAAAATGGAGGAGAAGAGATTGTGGCATGGCCATCCCCCTGGGAGATAATTTCTCACTTCTGTCTCTCTGTCTTTCTCTATCTTTCTGGCAAGCATATGCACCCTTTAGCAAAAACTTCTCAAAAAAAAAGAAGAATATTATTTATCGGGAACAGCAGATGGCATAGTAGTTATGTTGTTGGACTCCCACATGGCCAACTGTAGTTTGAGTCCCAGACCTGGCGACTTCAAAATCACACTGGGCACATGCGTGTGAATGCCCAAGATCCCAGGAGGAGAATGGAGAAGGGATTGTGGCATGGCCATACACCCTAGGAGGTGATTTCTGACTTTCCCTTTCACAGTATCTATCTCTCTCTCTAGTGAGTACATAAGACAAAAACCTCTTAAAATTTTATTTTATTTTATTTATTATTATTATTTTTTAATTTTGCTGTAGGGCCCTGCACTCACCAGAAAGACAGAAAGAGAGAGGGAAAAGTGAGAAAGCAAGCTGCCAGGTCTGGGGATTGAACCACTGCTGGCCAGCTTAACCACCATGCTCCCTACTAGCCTGAGCACTTTAAACTTTTAAATACAGTATACTCAGAGTAATAACCTAGTTTGATTGCTACAGCATTGAATGAAGTAGGAAAAGTTATGTTTATGTTCCCTTTCAGAGATGAAAAAGGATTTTATCATCTATTCTGTTCTGACGGTCAAGTAAAGAATTATGGTAACACAAAGAATTAGCTAAATGTCTTAGATTATATGTGTAAAAAGGATCAAAGCAATTCCCGAGAGGAGAATGGAGGAGAAGGGATTGCGGTGTGGCCATTCCCCCTGCGGGGTGATTTCTCACTTTCTGTCTCTCAGTCTCTCTCTGTCTGTCTGGTGAGCATACGCGCCCTATAGCAAAAACTTCTCCCTCCCCCCCCCAAAAAAAAAGGATCAAAGCAATAAAGCACTGTCTCACAGAGTCTATTGGGTATGGTAGTTTTGGCCTTAACGTTTTTCTATGTACAACGTGGATAGTATAATTTGTGACCAACTATATATTGAATACGTAACTGAAACGCACTGATGCACCGTTTCTGGCTGATCTAGGCCCTCTTCATTGGCTACGGACCTGGATTCAAGCATGGCATTGAGGTTGACACCTTTGACAATATTGAAGTCTATAACTTAATGTGTGGTAAGTGTGAGCGGGCGGCTTCCTTCTTTCTTTAAAGCAGGTTTCATTGGGGGCACCTTCAAAGAGATGACAGTGAAGCAAGAAAGACCCTTGCATTTTACCTGTCTTCTTCCTGACTCAGAGTCACTAAAAAAATGTGCTGGCTACCCCATTTTATTGCTTCCTGGCTTGTTCCACTAGGATGCACAGTGGTAAAGCGCAACTCATGCAGCCAGGGGTGTCTGTTCATCCTCAGTGCTAGTGCTTTGCAAGCCATCGGTTTAATTCTATGACTCTTGGATCAGTGCAGTAGTGAGAGCCTGAGGAAAGAACCCGGGGCAGTGAAAGGCTGGTGAAACAGGGGCAGCCTCTGGAGTAACAGTGATTGGATGGCAAGGACAAGGTTGTAGAAATAAACAATTCGAGTTCCAGACATGGCAACTTTAAAAATGCATCAGTGTATGTGCGCATATGCCCTATGTTGTGAAAGGAAGGAGAGATGGAGAAGGGATTGTAGTGTGACCATGCCTCATGGGAGGTGCTTTCTCACTTTCTGTCTCTCTCTCTCTCTCTCCCTGTCTCTCTCTGGTCAGCACATGCACCCTCTGGCAAAACTAAAAAATAGATAAAGCAAGAACAAAAAATAACAGTTACATATACTCTAAAACTCAACAGAGTTTTATAGTTTATTTTGAGTTAAAGAGTGAAGGACTTGGGGTCCAATGGTGGCACAGCACTGATGCAATGCTCTGTGAGGGAGGTTCTACGTTTGCATCCAGAGGCCTCCCTGAACCTACCAGATGCATGTATGCCCATGATCCAGGACTAGCCAAAGCTGGGGGTGGATTACAGCATGGGGATCATATTGGTGGTCCCTGTCTCTCTTTCTCTGACTTTCTGTCTCTCCCACTCTTGGAGGAGAGAAATAAATAAGCTTTAAAAAAGAGTAAAGAACTCATATATATTTGAGTAAAAGAAATGATAGTGCAAGTCTACATGATTTGTTTTTTTTCAAAGTTTCTAAGTAACTCTTTACTCTTCTTGAAATGATGCAGATTTACTGAATTTGACACCAGCTCCTAATAACGGAACTCACGGAAGTCTTAATCACCTTCTAAAGAATCCTGTTTATACCCCAGTACATCCCAAAGAAATGCAGCCCCTGACACAGTGTCCCTTCAAAAGAACCCTCAAAGATTACCTTGGCTGCTCATGTAACCCCTCAGTAAGTATCAGCAAGAGCTTTACCCTTGTCTGTGTGATTTGATAGCACCCTTTGTATAGCATGCACTAGACAAATAATCATCAAATTAAAATGTATGTGTAGCTATAAAAATTATTTATTTATTTAGGTTTCTGTTATAGGGTGTTTGTTCTCACCAGAGAGAGAGAGAGAGAAATCACCCCACAAAACGGATGGTCATTCCACAGTCCCATCTCCTCCATTCTCCTCTTGGGATCTTAGTTAGGCATGCACACACATGCACCTGGAAAAAACTTCAAGCCACCATGTCCAGGACTTGAACCGTGCAGTTGGCCATATGGACTCAAGTGCCTTAACCTCCCTACCATTCTCTGGCTCAACATAGATTTATTTTTAATTCTAGGGGCACATGTAGCTCTTCTGTTACTTCTTGTTCCTCTTCCTAGTCTTTGCGTTTTCAGGTCTGTTTATCCCTCGGCGCTGTGACTTGACCTGTTGAATGCAGGTGGAGGGAAGTCTAGTTGAGTCCTGGAGCATCCTGAACCATGTGCTGTCTTCGCAGTGAGATCATGAGCACATACTAAACCGGTGTTCTTTCTCTGAAATACAGCTCACACT